GGACAAAAACTTTCAGTTTATTCCCGTTTATTCTTGTCTGGACGGCAGTCTCCTTCAGTCGACGTTCGCGAGAGTGTACAGTGGTACGTGTAGCACGAGCCACTCGGTGTGCTGGAAACCGATGTATAGTGTCGTATTCGCGGCACGATAAATTCATTGATTCTTGTGACACTGTACAAACCGGCATTTGCCAGAAATGAAGTAACATCAGACCTCAGGAGCCGCTCGTACATGCCACGTTCTTCTTTATACGCCATAAAACCATCGAGTAACCTTTGTGCGCCTAACGACAGGTACGTTTTGCCTTTAATTTACATTTAAAACCCATTATTAGACACTCGCTCCCTCTAGGACAATTTAAAAACTCGTGTACTCGATTTAAATTACAAAACAGATGGGAACTAGTTTAGAAAATAATAATCAAAGTTGTTTCCAATTAATCGAAATTTAAATTAAATTCTCATGCAAAGATATGTAAAAAAAAATAATTAAACGCAATCAATCGAAAGTAATCAATCGCGAGTTTTATTTCTTATTCCGAAATTCACTATCACAATTTCAAGCGGTTAAATAAGAAAGATAAAGTGACTGAAATGTTCCGGAAATATGGATAGTGTATTTTTATACCCAGGCTTAAAGTCACACGTTGATCTGAATAATATCGACATTTACAATTCTATCAAGTCTATTTAATGTGTTGAATTCCCGTTGTCGGTATACATTTTAGGAGATTGCGGATTCCTAGCCAAGTGCATTCAGCCACTATTTATCGTAAATCTTCCACACGTCCGTATTGAAATGCGTAGAAAATCCAAAGAAAAGAACGGTATTGGAATACTAAGGTATTCTATTTTCTGATTTTCTGAATCATACTTTTAAAATATGTCATCGTCCTACGTGTTTTACATTTATTGATAAAATAATCTGAACCAGTATTAAGGTTAGGTCATCAAAGGTTATCGATGTATAGTTCGAATAAAACTACGATTTATATTTCAAATTCAAGTTAACCTAAAATTGCAGGTGTCAAGTTTATGACATTAGTTGTTGGATGAGGGCTACATTCAACACATAATGATGTAATAGTAATTCTTGAATGCAGAGACTGTTATTTTTTTCAAATTTAAAGGAGTATAAATGAAAAGTATATTAAATTTAGAAATTTATGTGAACGATGACCGGTGAAGTTCGTATGTTGCAAGTTTTGCAGCGTGTTCCATCAGTACAGCCACGCTGCTACGAGCACGTGGTGTTAAGTTGTGTGAACGGGACTTGTATGGCTCGTGATAGCAGTTCCATTGCACGCTAGCTTCGTATGATGTAACTTTACGTCGATATTTCGGACCTGCGCATCGAAACTGCCTCGTTCTCTATATAGGCGAATTCGTTCGTTACCCTTTTGCGACACAGAAATCAATTTTTTCGTGACTAATTGACACTTTTTATCGCGTTAGAACAATATTGTTCTATATACCTGGTAATGCGTAACACGGCGGTGTTGACCCATACTAATTAGGAAATGTATATACCGAGATTAGTTTCCATGATATATTTGAAAAGTCATCTTTATTTCTCGTTTTATTGCTTTTGACATTTGAAAAAGCGTTAATTTAAGGAACATTATATCGTGAAGGTAACGCTTACGATGAATTGCATCATGTTAACATAATTGAAGTGATTATTGGAAAAACATTTCTTTTTCTTCTAAATAAATATGAAGTACCCATAAAATTGGTAATAAATCATAATAGTCATAGATCATTTATGATTTATCTTGATTATTTTCCAGAAATTCGACATTTTTATATCTTTCGAATAAATAAAATTTTATTGGTTATGGAAATTATAACCTTTCAGTATGTTTATACCGAGGGTTAGGAAAAACTTGGAAAAATTTGTAAAATTCTGAATTTTTACGTTGCCTATTGTAGCACTGCCAAATTATGTAGGCAGACGCACTAAAAGTGGGGAGAGATACTTCTTGGAACGTATAGTGGCCAATCCTATTTCAGAATAGCATGAAAGGATTTAGTCGGCCTTGTCCGTGTAACAATAAGCTCTTGAAAACCTAAGATATTCAGTGATCTTGATAATGTTTTTATTTCTGAGTGAAGATACTTAAGACTACAATAGCTTTTTGTTTAGAAATATTCGTAGCAAAATAAATTAAAAAATATAAGATTTCTAGAGATAATTTCAAAGTACCAAAACTAACGTCTTGTGCGCATCGAGCTCGTTGAACTCGAAAGCAAACCGGTCGAAGGTGAAACTGTTCAAGAATCTTTATGTAGTATGAATAATTTCATTGACTCGCAATCGCGTAGCAACCTTATCGTATATAAGTACAATGATATCGACTTTCCTTGTTACATATTCATATATAACGAAACTGAATTAAATAATTTATGTATCGAACTATCTTTTATTATTCTATTGAATTATTTTCAGATGGCCAGATCTTTTTACGGGATAAAATCTTTTGTTATGTAAAAGTAACGGAAAGGAAGATGTTTACTATTGTTATGCGCACGCACGTGCGCGTATAAGCCAAGTTAAGATTTACTGGATCAATTATTAGACGTCGACGTTTCAGCATCGAATAAGTAATATTCATTCCCATAATTATTAATCGTTTTATTTGAAATGCTCTTTTTCATTGTATTGCTCTTGAAAAGGATAGTGGCTGCGGATCAGTCATAGAAACAGACCTTGACATCTGTGTACATGCGTAACGGTGAACTAGAAATCTTAGTCCCGAGGTGACCCAGTTTTCAAATGTGTTTAGTAACACCGATCAACTTCGACACAGGTGACTATACTATTACAACACGTGTTCTTCGATGCGTATGACGATGTCACTGAAAAATAAATAAATGATGAATGAAATTAATCATGAAAATGCACGTTTTTGCCAATACCTTGCACAAAAGCAAGTTTTAAGATTTTTTGCTTCGATGGATAAGTATATTTTATTTTTAAGTACTTCATTTTTCCAGTTTTTAACACTCGTTTACCCGTAGTACAATATGTCTTTTGTTCATGCAGATAAACATAATTTAACTTTGTTTTAGTCTTGTTACGGATCATCAATCTCGTATGGCAAACTACTGAATAAATAGTGGAAAATTTAATTGTTACAACTTCGTTTCAATAAAATGATAGTTTTAAAAATATTTCTTTGTCACGTTTCCATTGAGGAAAAGCAGATGTGATGATTCAACTGCTTATTTGATTAAACCTAATCTACGAATAAGAACCCTACGAAACCGTGATTCAAAACGCGGTAAAAAAGATAATTGGTTAATTCCCTGCTTCTTTCATAAGCTAAACTACTTAAAGATACATTTATTTGTATAGTGACTATACTTATTGCACTATATCAGTTAATCTATATGAATTTTCTATCATTTAAAAAATACTTGAAATATTTATAAAATTGAACAAGTAGCACTCATTGATGATTACTGATCCTATAATAAAGCCATGATGTACACAACATGACGTAGTTGTGTATTTCATCCACTACCAAATCATCAGTGAGAAAATATTGCTGAATAAAGCAAATATGGGATCGTATGTCATCCCGATAAGAGATAAAAATACTACAAGTGAATGCTTTTTATCTTTCAATAAATTTCGTGTAGAATTACATATATTATAAGATATCTAATTTCGTAAATGTATTTGGTAATAGAATCTTGAGATTATTCTTTGCTTAATGGAATGGTTTTGTAAATCTGATGATATCAACTAATTTCGTCAATTACATCTTAAGTAATTAACTTACAGTTATCTACGTAACAAAATGAGTCGTAAACCGTGCTGGCATGATACTAAACATCCCTCTTGATTCGAAGAACGAATAACATATATACGTTCTTTTTTTGGTGTGTTCATCCATACAGTGCAACAATGCACTATATATATATATATATTTATTGTGAAAATTATCGCAATAAGTTGGTTTTAAAAAACTCGAAGGAGTCAAACATTAGGTCACGAACAATAACCTTATCTTCTTATTTACATTCTGGATAGATACGCATCAGACAAAGCTTTTCGTGATTTTCCATTCTTCAAGAGTTTCATCTTACATTTTGTACTTTTTACTGTATTTCTTCCTTATGCATACATAGAGTTGGTCTGTAATTAGATAATGGCATTAACTGTAAAATTAACCGCAATGGATGAAAGGTTAACTCTGAAAGTTGAACGACCTAATTTTCCACATAACACTCGCTCTCGTAATTGTCGCCTTAACAAGGAGACATTAAAGATTAATTAATTTCAATGTGAATTGCTATAACTGTCGGTACAATTAATATCATACCTCTGTTATCTGATTTTACGTCACTCGATGAATTATCTTCTGGGAACATTACAGAAATGAGAAATCACTAAAAACGAAAAAAAAAAAACGAATTGAGTAGTCTATAGATTCGTTATCAGGTTGAGTGCAAAGCAATTACATAATGTCTCTTAGTTGGTCACTATACGAGTATGCAATCCGTATTCCACGAAATAACGATGACTACGTTGTAACGATTGGCTTGATGCGTGAATAGCAATAAATTGTTGCCTCATATTTATTTTGTGCCTTTGACAAACAGTATCATGATAATCAATTTGAATCGTTATAATATTACACTCAACATTGATGAATTTGTTACTCGTATTACCTTTCAAATACCATATAACTGAAATTAAAATATAATTGCATGTAACATGAATTTTCTACCATAAAATGTCTGAGTGTATATTAAAAAAAAATAATATTTACTATTATATAACATTGTATAAAAATACAATCAAGAATAGTACCAAAAGAGTTTTATGGAACACCATACTTGTAAATTTTATTTAAGTACTAGATGAAAATTTTTATACTCCATGTTTACATCGTCTCTATAACCTCAAACTGTCAAATTCTCTAATATACTGCAATAGAATGACTTTAGTCATTTCTGTAGCTTAAAGTTTTCCGTGGCTCTTTTATTATAAATCAACTTATAATTTTAGAGAAACAGTCTCTGCTTATGATTCCAGTGGTACATTGTATTTTAATTAACACCTCCGCGGCGACACGACTAAAACGAATTGTCAGTGTGGCGCCTTATAAGGAGTCTTCGAATTCCGTCGCACAAACGTGCACCTATAATTGCCGAACACATGTGTGATACTTTTTGCGATGTCATGTCGATTACCCAGTTCTGTTCGTTACAATGTTCCAACGCTTTATTTTCTGAGAACCCACGGTACGCAGAACAAATTTACAAATACCACGTTTATTATCATTACGAAGAACCTAAAAATTAATCTTGTAAATGTGTATATTACGTTTGACATGGAAATTGAAATTGTGTACAAAGATCATGTTAGCGAAACATTTCCAAATTTAAAGTAAATATCGAAGACTTCGATCTAACCTTCCAAACATAGAATTATTTGTTCTTATAAAATCTAAATTTTGACAGAAATAACATTAACGTATGATTCTTAAATGCATTCGAAATAAAATGAAAAGAACAGAATGAGTAATTGAATCCATAACCCGTATAGTAAAAATGTTCACTACCGACGTGTAAGTTATCTCTGGAGATAAATGTGTGATTTACGCGTAATTTGACCAGATGTCGTGAGTTGAAGTTGCCGTACCGGTTTCCCGCTTATCTCACAGCAAACAATCGATGAAGAGTGAGCTATCAATTCGCATTGCACTGACAGCCAGTAATATGTGGGTGTACTAAACTAAAATACTGTTACGCTTGGACTTATTTACAAATGTATTTTATATTTACTTATAATTAAAGTACATTTGGAATTTTTATTATGGAATTTATATATTATAAGGTATTATGTGAAGCACAAGCAGGCATATAAATTATGATTTCTTTTGCAGTCGCGAAAAGTTATTGGGACGTGATAATTCAGGGATTTATGTTAGACGGCCGTTTCAGTCTATTTTTAGACTTACACGCGCATCCGTTAGTAGGTACCGTATCACAAATTGCCAACGGTTCTATATTTTTGAGGACAATGTCCTGAGTTATGTCAAGGATGATCGATGCATATTGTTTTCAATGCAACATTCCTATGCTTCACGTACAAGTATTGTCCTTTTTTTTTTCTTTGTACGTCTTACATGAAAATAGGTAAATGATGTTTATAATTTTATTTCAAATTATACATTTTCCAGTCATGGCTTGCATTCTTATAAATATAGTATAATTATATAAGAAGGATTCTGAAATAAGCAAGATTACGTAAAGCTGGACTAAAATAAACATCTAATATTATCTATCTACGATTCAATATTTCAGACGCTTATTTCATTTCTTATGTTATTATTTATGTGATCAACTATAATTAAGGTAAACAAGTCCTATTTCATTAATAGTTATTGCCACAAGTAAGGCAGTAGTTAAAATGTTATATAATAATACCTGAATTTTAAAAAGCAACAAAAAGAAAAATACAATAATTTATGTTAACAGGGTAGTCTTTATAAGCACTACTAAAGTATTGATATCGTGTAATGGAATTGTCGAACAAAGGATCCATTATTCGTTAGTTTTTCACCAAGGTTATCACACAAGTTTTAAATTTATTACAGTAATAGTACTCAACCAATATTACGATTTAATTTATGTAATGGCATTTTAAACTATGGACTCTTTGAAAAGCTATACGATATTCCAGCTTACAATTTTGTTAAGAAATCATTTACGTCACTAGTTATGTGCGTAGAGAATACTTTTACCGTTATTGAAAAACATTATCTAACTTGTTTAGTCTACTTATTATATTTTATTCATATACATTATATATATTTCTATTTTAACTCATAAATGCCAAAATTTATAACAATTTTAAAATTGTGAAAAGTTCTAAATATTCCAAAGGTATTAAGGGTTTTAGATTGTTTCAAAAGATTTCAAAACAATCAAGAGTTCAAGAAAGTTCTAAATTTTTCAAAGCAACGACTGATTCGAAAAGATTCAGAAGGGAATTTCATGGTTATTTTAGGTAAGGTTCAAAGGTTCCTGGTCTAGCAGGAATTCCAGGCAATCCCAAATTTTTAGAAACTAATGGAAAGTCTTATTGTCCCAATGGTTAAGAATCTTAGGGTCAGTGAATTTTTGGGGACTTAAGACGGTTGAAAATTATCCAAAGAAGAGAAAGTTTTAAATTTCTAGATATTTTAGAACACTCCTGGAACCTTCACAGTTCCTTGACGTTCTTTGTATTTCTCTGCCATTGTTTGCTGTTTCTAGTCTCTTGTGTGCATTTCGTCAAAAGTATAAGGTAATTCTTCTACCGAAAATAAATTATTTTGGCAGTTTCAATATCTGCTTTACTTTAACTTCCTTCCTTGTCACGAGGGTAATTATTTACAGTCTGTCGGTTAGCGTTCACACGTGTACGTTAATTCTTTTCCCATATCAGTCGTCCACCAGTTTTGCATTTCCGTGCACGTCATTAATACTTCAAGGACCGCAAGTTGCAAGTCTCGAAGCTGAATGTTGTCATCTAAATGATGCTTTACGTAACGATGCTTCGATTCTGTTCAACAATGAATTGCATAGCTAAGACATAATAAAAATAAATTTTCATGGTAATTTACCCTCATTTTCACAAAACATTTTTAATCATTTTAGATTTACATAACTTAAAATTCCCTGAACTTGACTTGTCCACGTTTTGTCGAGTATCGATACTTCTGATTTCTTCACGTAAAAGGTAATCACGTATAAATTTATGTATAAAACTGTCGTACTTTGATATTCGACGTATTACAATATCTTTAATTCAATATTGATTATTATACTTTATAATTTTGCCAGGTGGCAATCTAGATTTGTTGCTCGAGTACAGAGATTAAGATTCCGGAATAAAAATGGCATATCTTCTGATAATTCAATCACACAAGTCTCCATTATGATTTGGATTTAACAGACTTCAGTATTTATTATGACAGATAATAAATAACAAATTTGTTATCGCAAGTAAATCGATTTCAGGATTTCAAGAATTAAAATTAATAAATTGAAGAGAGTGAGATTTAATGACGGAGACTGCAAAATTTGATACTGTGGAAGAAAGAAAACAAAAATATCTTTGCACTTATATAGAATTTATACTGTGTATTAAGTTTTTATGATATCAGTAGTTTTCCAAATATTGTTTCATTTTACTAGAGATTCTGTAGCTGATAAGGCATTATATTTCCAGCGATCCATTTACACAGTTGAATAAGCTTCTTCAGAAACGCATTGTCTGCGTTATCGTACATGTAGAACAGAGTTTCGTTGGATCTCGATATTTATTTATGGCTTCTAACAAATTTAACATCGAGACTGATGAAAGATAATAGTATCTGAGCAATGACATGGATTTAAATCAAAGTATGATGAATCGCACCGAATTAACGATAATAATTTCCATTGAATCAAAATGTATAATTGTTTTAATGATTTCACTGTAAATCATTAAAACATATGGGATGTTGAAAAGAACAGTGGCATTAGTACTGCTTATTTTACATAAATTTTCGTCATAAATTGAAAAATAATTATTCCATAAATTTATGTTCATTATATTATTTTCGACTTTTTATTATAGTTTATGGAATGGAAAATATTTATGCTATATTTTGTGTGTTAGTCGTTGTTTAAAATAATATTTTAAATTGTTTAAAATACATTGATATTTTCCAACTTCCAACTTCTTTTTTTAGATTATAAATTAATATTGTTTTGTAACATAAGCTTTGTTTGTTATAGATAACACATATTAATTGGACCAAGCACGTACACAAACACATATCAATATGGTAAGTTTTAGTGTATATTATTTTACAGATAAATGAATTATTATTTACAATTTTATTACATAATGTTTATTTTACAGGAGAACAAAGCACCTACAGAAATGGACACCTTCTTGCCCCAAGATGGGTCCAATGCAAAAGATGGTGTATTATGCAAGTAAGAACCTAATTAATCTTTTAACATGTCCATATAAGATTAATTAAAGAAGAAGAAATTGAAGAATAAAAGTATTAGTCAAAACTTACAATGACCTTATGGATTCGATAATCGAAGATATTGAGTAAATAAAATTTACTGAATGTAAATACGATAATTGTACCATGTTCCTTACAGATACAAAGTGCAAGTTGCTCCACGTGATATGGAAGCCGGACAGGGTGATGGAAAAAGTTTCGACCCCTTCAGTGAACGAACAGTAGATAACCCAACGACGTAAGTCATGATAATATAGTTAATGTAAAAATACTTAATAAACTGATATTCTTAACTTTCTTAATGTACCATACTCACGGTTATGTTATTTACATTGTTCAATTAGAAAGAAATATTGTGTATCTATTATCGTTAAATAATGTAACACAAAATGGCATTTTACTACTAAAATAATTAACAAACAATAACAATTAATAAAAAGAAGTGTCTTTTTAGGGACTGTGACACATTAACGCATTTACTGAAAGCGTCACTTGGAACAGGAATATTGTCTATGCCAATAGCTTTCAAGAATGCTGGCTTACTCGTCGGTGTACTTGCCACAATCCTGGTGGCATTTGTTTGCACACATTGTGCATATATTTTGGTAAATCAATTTTAAGATATTAAACACAATAACTCAAACGATGAAGTAAGTTATATAAATAAAATTAATATTTTAGATAAAATGTGCGCACGTTCTTTATCACAAAACAAGGCGTACGGAAATGAGTTTTGCCGATGTAGCAGAGGTAGCGTTTGCTACGGGACCACAATGGGGGAGAAAGTTTGCAAAACCAATTAGGTAAAGTATTGTAACAATAAAATAAAAGTATATCTATATTTAAAGAATCGTATAAATATGTTTAAAAAGTCATGATTTTAATTGAATAATAATAACTATATAATATATTATTATTTATAGGTATCTTATACAGATTAGTTTATTTGCAACGTATTTTGGCACCTGCAGTGTGTACACAGTTATTGTTGCCGCTAATTTTAATCAAATCATTAAGCATTATAAAGAGGAAGGATCCGGAGAATTTAGTCTCCGATTGATGACTGCCTGTTTATTGATTCCAATGATACTACTCAGCTGGATACCGAATCTGAAATATCTTTCACCTGTTTCCATGGTGGCCAATATATTTATGGGAACAGGTTTAGGAATAACATTTTATTACTTAGTTTGGGATATACCACCCATTACATCTGTACCTTTATTTGCATCCATCGAAGACTTTCCGCGATTCTTCAGTATTACTATCTTTGCAATGGAAGCGATAGGTAGTTATCTGTTACTTGATTATTTACGCAGTCATAAATATTTATTATGCATTTTAATAAAAAATTAATATTTTAGGTGTTGTAATGCCACTGGAGAATAACATGAAAACACCACAGCATTTTGTCGGAATTTGTGGTGTTCTGAATAAGGGGATGTCTGGAGTCACACTCATTTATATTTTACTTGGTTTTTTGGGATACATTAAGTATCAACATAAAACCTTAGATAGTATCACGTTAAATCTACCAACAGAAGAAATGTAAGGATTACAATGAGTAAAAATTATAAAATTTTTTGTGTAATACCTACAGTTGTACAAAATGTAAATTATATGTATATATTTTAGACCAGCTCAAGTTGTAAAGATTTTGATAGCTCTTGCTGTTTATTGTACATTTGGACTGCAGTTTTACGTTTGTCTCGATATTGCATGGAATGGTATAAAGGATCGGTTCCAGAAAAAACCGCTACTAGCAAATTATATTTTAAGAACGGTTATGGTTACAGGAGCAGGTGTGTATTTTAATTTCTATCTAAATTTTTGTTATGAAATATACTATAAATTTTTAAATGTAATATCACAAAAATATAAATATAATTTAATATATTATAATATATTTAAAAAATTGTTTATGTTACAGTTTTACTGGCTGTGATTGTACCCACTATCGAACCATTTATTGGCTTAATTGGTGCATTTTGTTTTTCGATATTGGGACTTTTAATTCCTGTGTTTATCGAAACCGTAACTTATTGGGACGTCGGTTTTGGACCAGGAAACTGGGTAGCTTTAAAGAACATAATCATTTGTGTCATTGGTTTTATGGCTCTAATATTTGGATCTCGAAGCGCATTAATGCAAATCGCGAAACTATATTTACAAAAATAGTCTTCATATCCAAATAGAATGGTAGATATTCCAATATTCCAAACTTTGAAAACGTTTGGAAGTCACTTAACAAATTTGAATGCAATAAATTTCTGATAATTTCGTTATTTTACGATGACAATCATAAAAGTCAAAATAGAATATAAAGTGAAAATATTAATTTATTTTATAAAATATATACAATCAGAAGTTTAATAAAATTTGTATCAGAAATTTAGATGCAATGTATATGCTTACAAGAAGTGCTCTAATAAGATAAAAAGAATGCTAACATCAATTATTATGCACATGAGAGCTCCAAAAACTTGTAAGAATGATAAGTTGAAAAACCGACATTCGGCATGGTTAAAATAATGTCTACGCACAAACAACTTCTACTATAGGACAAATAATATTAGAGGGAAGGTTATATGAAAAGATTTAATCGTTATTAAGTGACTAATGAATTTAAAAGTAGACTTACTAATTTACTTTGTTTTTAAAGTATAATATATGATGTATATTCTATTAAATTCGTGAAAAGTTTCAACTGAGAGAAGTTGACAGTATTTATAAAAATCGTTTTACATCGAAGCAATAAGTTATAAAAAATATTAATTGATATTTATTTAATCCAATGCAAATTTTGCATTTTATTAATAATAAATCTTGTTTCAGAAATCTACGATATTTTACAAATATTACAAATATATAATCGTAATCTATTTGATAATAATTGTTGATTTATAGAAAAGTCTATTTGTATGTTGCTAGTCTTGCAAATTAACAATCAAATCTCAAAGTATAACCTTCATTTCTTTTTTGAACTTGAATAACATAAATTATTGGTTTAGTAATATGTATTGTTGTAGTATTTAAAACATTTATAAGTAGTGGATACACAACATATACATGAAATAAGTTCCGATTACATATTTCATGCATGTGATTCATAATGCAAAAAATGTTTCACTCTTCTGTGTTGCATTTAATATCAGTGTATTTTAAAAAAAAAGTATGATCTTTTTCAAGCAATTTTTGCTTATCGAACTTGTTATAAACTAATTAATTTTTTATACAGTTGTTGGAAATTTTACATATTCCCAGTAAAAATATAATGAAAGAACTACAATTTTTAAATACAAATCATTTTGCAGTATCTTTTGTATATTTTATTCTACCCCATTTTGTACATAATTTGAAAAATATATTTCTATATAAATAACAAAGTCTTTATGTCATGTAACAAATGTATATTTTAATATGTGATATGAAATGAGAAAATAAAAATTATAAATTTTTATTTTTCTAATGGTGCATAATTTAAAAGCTTTTCGATCAAATCTACGTGTCCAAGAAGCATTCTGCGGCAGCAATATCGTTTTAATCCCAATGCATCAAGAGCATCTCTGTAACACATACATGTATTATACAGTATATATTTATAAACTCAGCATATTCAAACTATTTTAATATACATTTTATCAAACACTTGATAGAAATATTTCTTATTTACAAAAATAATTAAAAATTTGAAATAATGCACTACATATATTTTTAAATACTATTTTCTAACCTTTACATGGTTAAGGTTAGATTTCTTAATAATGTAAACATAGTATATAAATTATATTATATGCAACATATCTTGCATTTTATTTACATTGCATTTAATTAATTTTTACAGTTTGATATAATAATCTGTACCTACTTACCCTTCTGTGTACTCTGCTTGTAACAGACCAAGGTAGGCTTCCCACTTATTGCCAATCACTTTTCCACATGTAAAACAACGAACTGGTATAATCATTGTTGTTTTGTGAAAGAGTTAAACTTTTTAAATTATTTTACGTTTTTTGTTATTAAATTTAAGTATCACAGTAATATATAGAAACAAAAGAATTTTCACGTTCTCGAACGTTCGATATTTCGAAGTGCCGTATACAACTGATTGCTTAGATTGTGCAATACTCTGAAGTGTTTTCATATTCTTCACTGTTACCAACATAACCATAAAAACAAAGATGCAGTTTAGAATCAATCAAGGAAATTGGAGTATTATGGAAAGCTATTTACATTTATCATAAATATTTAAATATTAGTATTTACTATTAATTAAAATAAAATAAGTGTTGTAAAATAAGTAAAATATTAACACTAGATATTATATATGTTTATTAACTACATCGTGAAATTGAAATATATAATATAGGGAAAGCGCTGTGTATATTTATAATTGTATCGTAGTAAAAGTAGAATTGATTCCAAAAAATCGTATTTCAAATTAACCTTTGAAAAAAAGGAAAACGTCTCTTGTTATTTAAATGTGATTAATTATAACTGTTTTTATAAATTATGATTATTATTGTGAATACTTTCAAAAATTTTGTTCGAAAAATATTCTAAACACAACGCAGTAACGTGACTATATACTTCTCATAATATAATATCAATTAACTCACAGCGCATTTTCATTCGATAATCGACTCTCCTTAATAATATATTATTTGAATTTAAAATTATTGAGAATTCCGTTCATAAATAATTTGCATATATTAAGAAATAGTGATATGAAGTCTGAAAAATATGGCGACAATTCGAAACGCGGTCATTCATAGCGCATTCGAAAGGTAAATATACAGCTTTGCGTCTCGCGCGCCCAGAGACAAGCTGTGGCAGAGAGACAGCTGCTCCGATCGAAGGACATGAATAGGGGGGCGGAAGGAAAAGAGGGAGAAAGAGAAAAATACGAGGCCGAAGCAAAGGGAGAACACCATAAACATACAAGATCGGATTGGTTCTGCTTTCTCCTTTGTCTGCTGGATGGAAACATGTTATAATACGGTCAGGCTGTTATCAAATCATCATTCTAATTGTTGTTTTTTGCTGTGCGCGTTTACCGTGCGTATCAGAAACCGGAGAGGTCGGAATTTTGGCGCCGTACACCGACGCGACAACAGTGACAGTGTAAATGGTTATGTTAGGCGAGCGTACTTTTTGTACGCGTTTTATCGAATACATTCCCATAGTTTATTGTTTTTGGTCTGTCTGTTGCACAATCATTTGGACTTTTTGTCTAACTCGTGATCACGGCGAATACCGCACATCAGCAATAACGTGGAGTCAAGGTTATATCCTGTGCGTCTTTTTCGCTGTATTGTCAAAATCAGCTGCCATTGCTATAGCGTGTAATTCTACTTGTTCTTTTCGGTTTTCCTTTTTTTTTATATTTATGCTGTACTCATTATTTCCAAAATTTCATTCAGAATTGACGATTTGTATTATGTTTAGTCCTTCGGAGCCATTCGCGGCAAATTGATGCTACGTTTATAACAAGTGGTATATTTTATCAAATTTATACAAGAATGATTTTATGAATACAAGTAGATACAGATTAAATCTGAAATAGTATACTTATAAAATAATAATGTTTTTAATGTTGAAATTTGTTATATAATAACAAATGTTTCTTCTCACCGCATATATAATTACTTGAACTTCCACACATATAGTTTCATGAACTTGATATCATTGAATAGTTATTGTTACAAAATGATATTAAATAATAATTGAAATTAGTATATAGTATATAAATATAAGTTTATATTTTATTCGTATTCATGTATTTATAAGATGTTTTACAGGCTTTGGAGATTGATGTCGCATTGTGCACCTCTGTAACAAGGAAATATAATCACGATAAAGCACATTTATTAATTCCCATTGAGAGAAACAGGTGGGAAAGGATTTTCAGCAGGGAACAAAATACAGAGAACAGAAGTGAGGGCTAAGCACGGTAGTAAATGCAGTGGTTGAGAAAGAGATGGACCCATCAATGTTCGTTACATACACCCCTCAAACAAACGGCATTCCACTGGAGTCCAAGCTTGCTACCTACATGGTAGTGTACTACATCTGCAATTTATTTGAGGAGAGTCAAGTCTTAGTAAAACTTTCCATTTTACATTATACAATTAGATATATAACTGAGTAAAATGCACTCATACATGATAATAAAGATATGTATCAATATAATCTTTTTATTATGTATTTTTGAATAGAACCGTCAAAGTCCAGGGGTAACTCTAAGTACTACTGCTGTTACAAAACATTTGTCAAACCTTTCTCTGGATTCACAGAAAAAGGTAACTGCCAGTCCAGAATTTGTACCTGGAAGAGGTCTTACTAGTAGCAACAGCAGTTCCCCAAATCTTTTCAATAATTCTTATCATTCGCAAGAGAATGTGGGTGGTACTACCTATTTCTACCTTGGGAATGCAGCAACTGATACTGTTAGAACTGAAGAAGGAACTGAAACTGTAAGCAAATTTAAAAATGCAAAAGATCTATTGTAATTTTTTCTAAATCAATTAATGAATTAATATAATTCATGGATAGATTGCAAATGTGGGAGCAGGTCAGGTAGGCTATGTCTATCCAGGTATGCCTGCACATCTCCAGCCAGTTAGATCTACAAAACCCCCATCATCTAATAGTTCATCTGCTCCTTCAACCCCACCTCCTCAAGCAACACCCAGTTTCTTTGTCAGTGAGAATTTGAGAATGGATATTCTTCAAAAAAATGCTTTAACGTTAGCACAACCCGATGTAGTACGATTTCCCGATTTACCGAACGAAGTTGATAATTATCATGAGTTGTGCCCATTGGAACCAATTCATAAACCTGCTTCAACAATTGAATATCAAACTTCGACGTACAAAGCTACCAGTATCAAAAGCGGTACACGTTACTGTTTACGACGTATACATGGTGAATATCTTTATATTGTTAAAAACTATTTGATAACGTACAAAGATTGTGAAACTGGTATTGAAGTAAGCATTTAATATGTTTTTAGATTTCAGACTTGCTAATACAAAATGTATGGTGCTGGTAGATATGTGGAAACGATTGTCACATACAAATTTGGTTCAGTTGAGAGAAGTTTTTACCACCAAGGCTTTTGGTGATCATTGTCTGTATTAATATACTAAAACAAAATTTATCTGTATACCTTTATGAAACGGTTTTATTATTTCAGCCATGGTATTTGTGTATGATTTTCACCCTGGATCAGAAACATTATTAACTAAACATTTCTCAGCAACCGAATTAAATGGTTATACAGATCCATTTTCTTCAGATCCAAACGTTCCTCGACCTTATAGTCATACTAAGAATACCATCTTGAGACAACAACATAGCAGTATGCTACCGGAAAGTGTTATATGGAGCTACATAATTCAACTCACTGCCGCACTCCGTGTTATACATGCTGCTGGTTTGTAGCTATTAATAATATTTTTATACATTTTGTTTGTTTATGCTATGGATAGTTTTGTAACTTGTTTATCTTTATGGTTTTGTAGGTCTGGCATACAGATGTTTAGATCCTACAAAAGTGTTACTCACGTCACAAACGAGACTTCGTTTAAGTTGTGTAGCTATACCAGATGTTGTTACTTTCGATGGAAATGCAGCAAATCCACTTTCGCTTATACCACATTATCAACAAGAAGATTTATTAGCCTTAGGAAAGTTGGTGTTGGCATTAGCATGTCGCAGTCTCCTTGCCATTCATTGCGACAACATGCAAGCCTCCCTTGAGCTCGTCGCTCGTTCTTATTCCACGGATCTTCGAAACCTCATCCTGTTTGTATATTTTATCATTTTTATAGATTGTTTTTATTTATTAATTTCTAACATGATGAAACCACCATATTTCTTCATGATTTAATCTAACATATTTTATTGCTTGCTTATTCTTTTAATACATTTTTGGTTATTTTGAAATAATATCTATTATGCGAAATAGTCTTTATAATGAAATTGATACTTTCAATGGAAGTGAAGGGAGTAACATATCTTATATTACTCGGTATGTCTACGTTCACATTCATGTATACAAATATAATTTTATAGGTATTTACTTTCTAATCAAGCACGAAGAAGTGTAACAGATCTCATGCCGATGATTGGAGCACGATTTTATACGCAATTAGATGCAGCCCAGCTTCGATCTGATGTATTGGAAAATGAACTTGCCAAGGAGTTGGAAAACGGGAGATTATTTAAGTTACTTGTAAAGTTGGCTACTATTAATGAAAGACCCGAGCTTTACATGGAACCTACATGGGCAGAGACGGGTGACCGATACATGCTCAAATTGTTTAGGGATTATGTTTTCCACCAGGTAGCAGCTGATGGAAGACCATGGTTGGATATGGCACATGTTGTATCTTGTTTAAATAAATTGGATTCAGGTTCTCAGGATAAGGTATACTTTTCCTTCTGAAATTATATCTATCGATTCGCAATCCTTTTATTCATGAAAATAATATTCATTTTTTTAATAGCATACAAAATATTTAAATAATTAAAACATCATCGTATTGTAAAATCACATCACTCTTCAATATGTACTTTTAAATATATTTTTCTAATATTATAGATATGTTTGATGTCACGAGATGAGCAGAGTGTATTAGTAGTAAGTTATGCAGAATTACGACAATGTTTGGAAACCTCCTTCGGAGAGCTGGTACAATCCGCGAAAGAAGTTGTTTAGGTCCGTGTCACATTTTTTCTCAACTGACCAGACAGTACATACTCCGAACCATAAATGTGATATCACCACTTAGCGGTACTATCATTTTAATCTTTATCAAGACATAGAAGAGTGAGATTTGGCCCGAGAATTAAGTTTGTTGATAAGAAAACAATATGTGAACCAGTTTGTAAGCATGATTTCAACTGTGGAAACATTGAATACATGCAAAATACATTCTGGTACTGCCATTTGAATGTAATATATGTGTGCAAGGAGATCATGTGATGATGTAAATCAGAAAGCATTTGAGCTTGTGAAAGCTATTACGGTACTATACAAACAAACAAAAATTGTACACAACTTAATTAATGCAATGAAGTCTTAAGAAATCTTAAGAAAAAGGAAACACCTAACACAGTCAGTGTATAGGATAGATGTTAGTTTTTAGGATACAGCTGGTAAGCATTAATTTTGAAATAAATGTTTATTTTTGAAAGCAATCTTAATCATTCCTGTGTAATTATTTCAAGGTGATAAATCATTAAAATTTTAATATAATAATGGATAAGTATTTCATACTAATAATATATTTTCATATCTGAAATAACAGAATTATTACAACTATTATTCGAAAACAATGTACTTGATATTCGTAGAAATCTGGTAGTTCATTTGTTCCAGTTTATCCAGCTGGCAATCTGTAGATTCGGTTCTTGAACTGCCCTATCTCCATTCCCCGCCTCTTTCCTCCTCTCTTCGACTGCTGTCCGCAATCACTCAAACTTGATCTCATTTCCTTCGCACAATTGTATGACCACAGTACGGGTAGACTTTTGCATACATATATACTCTCCCGATCGTATCATGTACATGGTCGTCGCTGGCAACCGATTTGCAAAATACAATTTTAAACACTTGCATGTATTTTGCAATCCACATATCTTGAAGTAATATTTATATATATTTTAAATAACGAGTTTTATACATATAATTGTTTATAATGGGAGAAAATTTCATAAGTATATGGTTATAATATGTGTCACATTATTCCTCATTCCTAATACTCTGTGTCGACGCCCATGCATTTATCCTACGTACGTCCTGTGAATCGAATAAGTGTTTAACTTGTACGTGCATACGTGGTTGACCGTGGAGTCGAAATAAAAGGCATATTAAACATCTGTTTCTGTCCAAGACACGACAACCGACTCGGCTGAACCCGTCGTTCTCCACCTAATTGTCTTAATGCCGACGTGATTTACTCCCCCGTACCGTGTCACTTCTGACAATCACTTCTCGTGCACGTATCAACCGTATACACGTAGTATGATCGCGTGTAAGTCTTCATTTTATTCGACATCAACCCGCTAACCCAGAGACGTCACGCGAACACTATGCGATATTTTTTTATCATATTCAATTAAATTTTTTATAATCAATAATTCTGTTATCATATTCCATAATAATCCATTTTTTATGTAATTAATTTATTAAGATATCTTTTTTATTATCAGTGAACACTTTTTGTATGGCATTAATTTTCATGTAAAGCAACTCCGATAATAATATTTTTCTCAAGTAATCTGAACCATTTATTATCTCATAAACACAATGAAAGGTTCGAGATACATCTATAACAAGATTGTAAAATCGTGTTCGCTCTAAATCCAGTTTTGCTGGTCGTTAAGAAACTTTAAACACAGCCAGAGCAGCGAACCCTTGCGCAAGCGATTTTTCTTTTGATCGTCCCACGATCGTGAAACTGGATTGTGCGGAAGGTCGCACTAAGCATCGTTAGTGTATGAGTTGAAAAGAGACCAATCGGTATGCCCCCTGAGCGAGAAACCACTTCTGGCGGGCAATTAAGGAACCAGCGAATGTATATGACCTGAGCTTGGTGAGGAAGATTTAACTTCTTCTATGTGTTCCAAGAAAAGCAGGATACCAGCGGACCGTGCTCGCGCAATATATGGTATACGATCGTCCCGTTCATCTGGTTATTCCTCTCTTGTCCCTCCTACTGTTGACTTTCGTGGAGTCAAGGTATTCCATGGTAAAAAATTTTACTAGAATTCACTCATGGGACGTGTAGATCGAATAAGAACATGGCTACGACTATTGGTCAACACTGAAGTTTGTTAGCGCGCTCTTTTTTCTTCTTATAACGGTTAACTGTTCTCTGGCTCATGCAAACGCACACACCATGTTTTGCATCTGATTCTTTCGAATCGATATTCTTGCCCACTCACAGTTATAGCTTAATCACTGCGTTACAGAGATTAATCGTTCGTTAGATACGAGAAACAAGTTATCGGGTTATGTATATATGTCGTGGCAAATTTGCATGGTAATATTCTTATGACACCATAGTATTACCTTGTACGCGAAGTTACTCCTAATCCTCTTTGAATAGTAAAAAAAGGAATGTAACGCTGATAACGTTAATTACATTTCCTAACTTAAATCTCACTTCAAGTACAATTTTTGCGATATCGTATTCATTATTTTATTTGTATTTTTCTTTCTAAGTAAAAGCGATCGATTCTATGATAAAGTGTTGTGATTCAAATTTACATTTACTCCAAACTGTAAAATTACCGTTGTCATTTGTTTGTTTCTCTGTTACTATTAATCCTGTAAACGATCGTCAAACATTATTAAAACCTCTAGTAATTTCCTATATTTATCTTGAGAACTGATCCATATTTACTCTCTAAATTACTCTCGGTTTAATCCTTTCCAGCTTCATCTCTTCCCGCTTAATCCTGTCGTTATAAACGATTAGCAACATTATCTCGGGGCAGTATAATATTTATCATTCCCATGACTGCAGAGCGAAATCGTGGGCAGCGATGCAAAATAGCAGTGGTCCACTACAGGTATACGTTTGAAAATATCCTTCAGTGCAGCGAAACGATGGGGCGATGTTGGTAACGGCAACCCCGCGCTGCTGCTCGTGCGAAGGTTGCTGCTGCGTGGACTCGGAGGGATGGTAGAGAGGCATACACAGAAGAGGAAGAGGTCGTGGAACGAGTAGAGCGGTAGTGGCTCTGGCAGCAGCAACACGTAGTACACGGTAGCACCGCGACGAGGACGGACACGGTTCGTATCACCTCGCTTTGGTAGTCGGTAGACTCGCTTCGAGCCAGTCTCACTTGGTCCAGTGGCGCAGTCGCGTTACGCGTATACATTTTTTCGTACTTCCAACTACTACTACACCACCACTACTACTACCAGCATCGCTGCTACCACCACCTGCACCGTCGAGCGTGTCAACATACACGTAAACGTCAGCAGGACCACTGAGCCTATCGGGTTGTTCCTGAAAAATAAGTCACGAAAGAAAACGCTTACATCCTCGAGACGGCGCGAGGTATGTCATTATTATTTGCTTTTACCCTTCAAACTTTTCTCGATTTTATCTTCTGTGTTGATCACAAGCGTGAAAATGGTGGCCCTTTTACGTGCGCGGGTTTCGAGACGGAAGTGATCGTGCGTCATCGATGAAGACGCGACGAACAAATGTTTCTAGAGCACCATCGTGCTTCGTTCTATACTCTCACAGCGTATTCCCATCGATTTTCCACGGCAAGACCCGCCCTGTAATTTACCATTCTCTCTCTCACTATATATTATCGTATCTCTTGTTTTGTGCCTACAGTCCAGAATAGAATTTTGTTTAAAGATACTAAAGTAAGATACGTAGTTATATCGATTGGTAAAATACGACTATAATTACCTCGATTATATTGAGACGAGCTTCAGATCCTTTTTTCGGCGAGCGCGCGCGTTTGCCGTCAACGATCGATGGACTCTATCGGCTTCTCTCTTTCACCTTCTATCCACGAATCGTGGCTGGTTGTTTCTTTTTAACGTAATGTGGTTACTAGACAACCTCCCTCGATGGACCACGCGTCTTACGTATCGATTCTCGATAGAATAAGAAGATCGAAGTGCAATCGTCTTCATCTTCATGAGAGTTTTCTCGTGTATCTTAACAATAAAATGCAGAAACTTGGATTTATGATACTGATCCATTTATAAAACCATTTTTTTGCTTATTCTGTGAGGATAAATAATAGGTTATGTTCTAAATATTTCTCTATAACTTAAAAAAAAAATGTTAAGAAATTCTAATTACGTTTTATTTGAAAAGCGAAGAAGTTTCGTGATCATCTACGAAATTGTGAAAACGGTTAACGTGTTTTCCAACTTCTGAACTGATTGTTTACATTTGAAACATTTTTGCGTTGTTTTTGTTACTAAGAGTGTGCAAGCACTGGTCTGCGTCTCGAATTACAGCCGATAGACCCCATGAACCGAAAGAATTTATTGGTGGAACTTCGCTAACGTTTGGACTGCATGCTTCGCCCGACAGTTTGAAAGTAGTTTTAACTTTTACTCGAAAGATCGAATCTATTGTTGGAAATGAAAATAACCATGAACACAGGATATGATACATCATCAAAATTTTTTGTAAAACATTTTTTAACTTACCTTCGTTTAATAGCCTATTTTTAATTTAAAAAAAGTTTTACCTAATTAACTACACTATCTAATATCTAATATATGCTGCAAGTATGATAATGCGAGACCCACATTCAGATAGAAGGTTCTTTATTTGCATGGTGTATATAAAACATTTTACTTTCAATGTTCCTCTTTATTGAAGGATACGAATCCATTTATCTGTGTTAGAATTCTGAGCAGACCTAAGAAATAACAAACCAAAGAGGAAATCGTTATTATTTAAGTAACTGAAATTACTGTATATTGATAATTCGGTTTTAGAATTTCAAAAGTATTAGTATTACTTGGGACAAAAAAAATTCTCTATATAAATGGTAATAATTCCATAAAATATTTAGAATTTTTTAACAAAGGTTTTTAAACGAAGGCGTCATAAAAATGTGCGATGGTATGACAGCACATTTAATGAATATGCTACTTTGAAGACACCATATTTCATAAAAAGGTCTATATACACAGTTCACGCGCATTGACTTGCACACATACATACTTCTTTATCCGTTTTTTACGCAAGGTCTACTTCTCGATATGAAAAATGTAATACACGTTTATCTTGAACAGCACACGAGCTTCATAGAATAGCCGATGGTTAACGATTTTTTCGAGCTGTGTGCGTCACCCTCTGCACATTCGTGTGTTAATTCATTAAAGGATATCGAGTAAGCGACATGATGTTGCAACAACCCTTTGAAGCAGATAACATTGGAAAAAAACACGCCAATTCGGATATCGACTATCTTTTTCTTCGTTCCCTTTTCCCCAGAAGTTGATAAATTAAAGTTACTCCCAGTTTAGGTGAAAATAGGAACACTGAGGATAGTCGTTAACTATGCTTTACCTATTTACAAAATGCCACCGTGTAATTCACCTCTTTGTAAACGGGTTTTCTAAACATGTTACAACGATAGATAGTGTTCTTAACAATTTTTCTTTAAAAGCTTTCAGTTACCGACCGAACATCAAATGTTTTAACTTTTACTCGATAGATGACGCGATTAGGCAAGAGATGTCTAATTCTCGCGGGGGGGTTGGTCATCTTATGGGATAAAATATAGCATTCGTATTAACGGTGAGGCTTATTTGATGGTGACAATGTGGGAAATTCATAACCTTGTTTCGTGTTTTTTCAGTTGGCGAAGTATTTAAAATTCTTTTAACGAAAACGAATTCCTTAACTGTTTTGACTAACATAGTACGAAAGATCTGGTCTACATGTGTATCGTATCGCGCGGGAATTATTTATAGCGAGTATATTGTATTCGTAAATTACATTGTTCTTTATCTGTATTTACGTTTTAAGCTTTTGCGACTTATTTTTTTTTTAGTATCACAATCGTATATAAAACAGAGAAACGAGAACGTTTCGGTTGCAACTGATCGACGTGAACGTGGAGTATGGCGGAGGCTGTGACAAAAAAGCGTATCTGTGTGACCGACACTGTGAGAGAAATTATCGCCGTTGGAAAAAAGAAGAGGGTAGACGTGCTTCACCATCGCCAGCGAATTAAGTTACATGAGAGCAATTTGAGGGGAAATTGTGTGCAATATTTGCCATTGCTGTGATGGAATCATATTACGCGAGGGAAAAGAGGTGGGAAAATAGAAGGGAGGGAAAAAGAGAGAGAACATGGGCCTCGGTAACATATGAGCAATTCGCGACGTCGTGTTTTATCGTGTCGGGAAAGGTTTCACGATGGTACTGTGACACGCATATTTTTCACGAACCTCGAAAGTCCCGGCTTCGTCCACGGGAATCTATCCCGATCTTTTTTTCATAGCATGCGCGCGAATAACTGGATAGCTTGATGTATGAGTCCTGAAGTGCGAGTGACACTCATTTTGTGATTTCCTGCTTATCGTAGTGTCTAAGTATATTCTTAGCACCATTAACATTTGTAGCTCATTGATGTAGATTAAAATTATAATGCAGCTTGAGGTGATGTTGAAATACTACAGTGCTCCTCAAATTCAGATTAAATTGCAACTTAGTATTTACACTCTATGTATATGCAGGACTGATATATTCGTTTAACTTCTAGTCACCCTGTATATTTTATCATATCAAATTGTGCATTAAGCCCGAGTTCGTATAAGTACATTCTTAATGTCTATTAAGAATATGAATGCGTTTAGACGTATCATGACCGTATTACCACGCTGTTTCCCTCTTTAATTAACCTCAATTTGTGGCACATCTGCCGACATAGTTGCCGCCAATTTGCTAGCATCTCGCATTCCCCGAGCAGTTTGTCGTATCGACAGTATCGTTTGAATCGGCCTGCTAAATTATCAGCAAGGCGTGTATCGGTTAGAAGGGGGGTTGCGATCGAGGTCCATTGTCAGTTTCATACCTAGATACCATATCGCGCGTATAACCATAGAAGCTGTTTGGCAGAATAGGTTTCTATTGGAAAAAAGCTCATCTACGATAGTTTTGTAATTCGAGCTGAACTCTTTTTTTCCTCTATAGGCAAGGAAAAGAGTGAAGAGTAAAAAGTTGAACGAACGGAAGGAAACATTGACATAACAGTCACGTTAGATAGGAATATTTGAAATTGCGATGTTGGTTATTTTTCCAGCATAAAAAAAGAAGGTAAAAGATAATAAAAAGAAAGTAACTTTCCATTATATGGGTACATGTTTAAATATATTTTAATACATTTGATTTTTAATTACCTTTTTTTCTTTCAGTAAGTTATTATTTTTGTTTTTCATTTTTTTAAATTCCGGATGCAATTGAATAGATAAAAGGAATATTCTAAGGATGTTGAAAATTATGGACATTTAAATTAACATTCATTTACGTATACAATACGACAATATAAATTATGATCCATGAAATCTTATCGATGCATTTTGTTATATCTTCACAAATGATCACAAACGATTTGCATGTTACCATAGGTTGTCTGCTTGAAAAAGGTATAATTTTATATTTAATCAATTCTGAACGTTTTTTCGAGGAATACGGACTTATACTAATAAATTAACCTTTCTTCCCTTTTTTCTACATTATGCATTAGCCTTTTTTATGTTTGTCAAGAACTTCCGTTACGAGATCCTAACCTCTTAGAATTTTAATGCTATATACCTCTCGTAGATATTCATGATATGCCTTTTCGTTTTTCGTCGACTATTTTCATTCGGAAAATACACGTGAAGTGATTTTACAAAATACTACACTACTATAGTACATTATTTGTTAAATGTTAAGTCGTATATCGTTTAAAATGTCAATTATCTCTGAATCTGAGATACATCAGTTTTGCGGTTATCTCGCTCGATAATTTATCGAACGAACGTGCTAATGAATTCGATCTGTGAAACGTGTACTACCTAGATAGCTCATTTTAAATGTTCGTATTCTAGATTTAAGGACGCCAATCAAGATATCTTGAGTTTTCGAATGGAGTAGTCTTCGTTGCTTGTTGACGGAATATATTTGCATGGTCGAAAATACATTCAAGCATCGAGTGTTTACGAGGTAAATCATCGAGCAGGATGAGAAACATTTCACCTCAGGCTGTCACGGAAGACGTAGATGTCGCATAAAGCAGAAAATGCGGTTTTACTGGTGGATATATTGTATGTAAATGGCGCATAGTTTACGCCGTTCCGTTCCTCTT